TTTGCCTCGAAATAGTGCCCCAGAACACCGGAAATAATCTCGCTTCGTCGATCAATCAAAGACAATTCGTGAAAGTTTGTCAAGTGATTGAGGTTTTTCGAGTAAACAGTTGATTAATTAATTAATTACAAAATCGTCATGACGTGTAGCAGGAGTAAAAATTGATGAGAATAATTAATTGAGGTCTGATTGATTGAAAATGTCGAGCAGAGGCATGATTAGCAACGATGCCTTCCTCGGAATGCATCATCAAACGAATTTCTTGGTATCAGACTATGACGAAGGTAGGACTAGTCGCATTTAGTTATTTTGTGTCTCTCAGGTAATTATCCGAGATGCCAGATGTTATCGGGGTTTAAACGTGTGACTGTTGATATACTTGTTATCTCGGTGAGTATAAATCGCGTGAATTGGGGAGGCTGAAGTAGTTGTGGTGGTGTCGTGTAGGATTGTGGGAATTATCGTCATGCAATCGTGAAGTGGAAACTGATGCTCGATCATCACTTTTTGGTTACGATTTTATTCGTGATTTTGCTCCACTGGGGGGATTATTGGACATGGAGCTACGGTTGAAACGTTGTGGTAATACGGGCTATTCATTGGAAATTGTTTCGTGGGGGGGGGAGGAGATTATAGTCTGAATACAGGATTAAAATACAGAGTTTTTTTTTTAAATATGGACATTTTTTAAATAAATTTTCTGTGTTCAGAGATTTCACTTTTTGGGAATTTTTAGGAAGTGAATTCCACTGAATTTTTAAGGAATTTCATCATTTTAAATTCACTTTTGTATGGAATATTCAATGGGGACTTATTTTCAGTTCAATTATTCTACGATAATACATATAAATCGGAAAAAATTTCGGTTAACATGTTTTATTGGAAATTTAAGTAATTTCGTCATTAAAAATTCCCAATTTAATGAAAAAATCAATGGAGACTGATAACTTCACTCGAATTATTCCATAAAAAGAGTGGAAATCAGAAAAAATATATTCCTGAATTTGTATTTCCGTGAAATTCCAATTTCTTTCCTAGCATTGTATTTTGATTAACAAAAACATTTGAAGAAAATTCACAATTTAATGAAAAAATGAACGGAAACGGTGAACTGCAGTTCAATTATTTCACGAAAATGGATAGAAATCGGAAAAATCCCGTAAATTCAAGTAAATTGGTGAAGTCTTATCTTCCAACTGTTCAAAAATTGAGAATTCCTTTCTCTTTCCCGTGAACTTCGAACTTTCTACTGAACCATCCGTGAAATTTAAATTTCCTTCTAACATTCCTATTCCTTCACTCCCAAAATTTTCATGGAAACCCCGGCATTGAAGTATTGATCGTTCCCCAGTGTCGACCAACTTTTGCGTAAAACTTTTTGGTCACTTGCCAAAGACAGTTCTGTAGCGGACGTCACCTAGAACATCAAAAAGTGGAGATAACAGAGTTTAATATGATTCTCCACAGAAGCATCCAGGCAACTTCTTTGTCAGGTCTATTCTTAGAGACTCCGCACAACAGCGAAAGTGTTGCTGATAAGGATATCTTAGTATCGAAGACACGTGACTCGAACATGTGCTCAATCCCCTGTTTATTACGCAGAATGAGAATTATGGATAATGAATTGTTACGAGTGTCTTCATGCATTGTTTTGTCCCGTTGGAGGCTATTCTCGGGTGGCGAGGTTGTGGGGCAAACAATCCCATTAGCTTTTTTGTTTATCCCCCCCGAGATCCGGTTTGTTATTAATCAGTTATTGGGCCCGAGCCAGAAATAATCGACAGGTTTCATCGATGAAACCGGCGGCATTTCCCAGTGGATAAACAGTCGGACGAACCGGTTCTGCAGTAGATTTAGACTTTCATAACAGACATTCATCAAGTGGAATGAGGGAAATATACAGAATTTTTTTACTGAATGAACAATTTGAGAAAATTGGAATTTTTTTATTGAAGTGATTTTCATGAAATTTTTCCGAAGGTTTTATTCCCATCCATTTTATTTTTTTAATTTTTATGTCGAGCCTGTACTGTAGTAATTTCAGGGGAACGATATTGAATTAGATTTAGAGGAAAATAATAATGGAATTTCGAATTTTAGTGAAAATTTAATGGAACTCCCAATTTTTCCGCTGCAGGAAAACGAGAAGTCCCTGATTTACTTAAATTTTCAATTAAACATGACTGAATTTTTTATTAATTGAAAATTCAAGAATAATTTACCTGAAAATTCAAAGTCTCCAGTTAAATTGTGAATTTTCAATCACAAAATTCCTTGAAATTTCCGTAAAACAGTCGCCTGATTAATTTTCTATTCATAAAAATATTTCATACAGAAACATTAAAATCCATTCGCTCACATAAAGCCCTTCCATGAAATGCAATACAATTTTCTAGCAAATGCGTAGTTTTTCCGCAAAGTTTTTGCAAGAGTTAACATTCTATTTTTACTCCCATTTATGTGTCAACTTAAATAAACTATTTTCCCAACAACTTCCTGCACTGCCTCCGTACACACCCAGTATTATGTCGCGAGGAAAAACAAACTCATGTCGTTGACCTTGCATATCCCCAACTATGCACATAAAATGTTGAATTGAAAGGCGATATATTTGGGTCGCGAAATCCAATGAGGGAGAAAGCATATATATCTCTTTATATTTTGTTCCCTTCCCTTTGATACTTAATTCAGTTATAAAAATATCAACAATAGTATATATTATATTAAAGTTATGATCGACAGACAAAAAACATTAATGCCACAAGGGCACTAGTAACTATATTTTGACTAGTGCCACTATGACAAAGCATCTTTGACTGATACTCGATTGACAATAGTTGTTGACTTTTCGAGGAATATCTCCGAATCTAAGGGAGATAGAGAAATTTTCGTCACTATATTTTTTGTAGTTCTTAATCCGCTCTGTAAAAAAGGTTATGACAAAAATTTTGCTATCTGACTTATTAGATCCGGAAATATTCATTGAAAACTGACCAATGTTCAAAATCGGCAGAATTTCATTTTCTCCCTCAGAGTCAGGCTTCTCTGTTTTATTTGTTTGGATTTATACTGTTTTTCGTTCAGTACATGCAATCCGCCATCTCGTATTTTTATTTTATATATGTGTATTAATATAACTATTGAATAAGGACTTGACCCTATAATTGGCCTCGACTGTTAGGCCCTTGATAAATAAAATAAATAACAAATAACAAATAAGATTAAATCAATTAATTGACTGCCAATGAGGGAGAAAGTCTCTTCGATTTCAGTACTCGTTATGGCGAGAGATTAATTTTCCGCATGGAGGGGAGAAATATGTTCATGTGTGGACATGGGGGTCACCAGTTTGGTGCCTCCACCAAGCGCCTCAGTCTCTGCGTCACTTTCCATGCGCTGGGAACGTCATAAACCGCCTCCTCGTCAATACAAAATCAACAGAAAGTAAAAGAAACCGGTTTTTTTTAAATAAAAAATGTATTTGTCCAAATGAAAATAAAAATCTTTCTCAAATAAAAAAAACATATAAACTACCAAGTTTTAAAGAAAAAATATTTTTCGGATAGTTTTCCTGTGATAATTAACTTGAATTGTTCGATAAGACAAGGAACACGAACTTGAGTGATAGATTACTTAGTGGATAGTCCACCTTGGGTCAACACTAGTTCCACGTTGTTCGATAAAAACCCACTGGCAAACACATTAACTTACAATTTTCGTATGATTGATGACGGCGCGTCTATTCACTGAGTTCCCGGAATTTTCCACTACGCAATCGAATATTTCTTCGGACGTGGTGATAAGGAAACATTCTCGTGTCAGAAGTGACTGAACCCTCGACCGGAAAACACGATTTTAGTTTCAAAAGAGAAATTGACGGGGATCATGGATATGAATTTTGTTCTGAGTAATGAGAAGGATCTTCTGAATAATTTACCACGTGAATGTTTGAAGAGGGTGAGGAAGAATGGGCCGAGGGTGCCGGCAAAGGGTAATTAATAGAGATAAACAATAAGTTTTTGTAGATTCCCGAAATTTCATTTTTTTTTTAATGAGAGGGAAATTATATGCCTTAGTTGTCAGGGGATTATCTCGGCAATGAGAGGATTTAGAGAAAAATGTTGCGGGATATTTTTTGTGGGGAATTTTCTCAACTACAAAAAAGGTTTTTTGACATTTTTCTCTAAATTCACTCGTTTCAGAGATAATGAGAGAATTAGTAAAAGTATTTAGCATATTTCAGAAAATTTTCTTTTGTTTTTAGTTGAGGATTAAAGGACCCTTGAGAGTTAAACGATTTTTTAAGACATGAGGGTCAAATGACCCGTAAAATGTGCAGGATTAAGGGTCAAGGATTAAGACAGAATTAATAACACCTATTTAGCATAATTCAGGATTCTTTTTGTTTTTAGTTGACGGTCAAATGACCTTTGACGGTTAAACGATTTTTTAAGACGTGAGGGTCAAATAACTCTTCAAAGTAGAATTAAGGGTTAAGTAAGGGTCACATGACCCTTAAGGCTTAAACGACCTTTCAAGACGTGAGGGTCAAATCACCCTTAAAAATAGTTGGGATTAATTGCCAAGGGTTAAGATTAAGGATCAAATACTTGTCATTGAAGGGTATTTTAAACAACTCCAAACATTCTTAAGGGTCAATACCGAAATGATCTACAATTAAACCCACTCTATCACTAAATCCCTAAAAACGAGACAAATTTCTCGATTCCAGGAAGTGAAAGCCCAGTGTTTGACGGAGCAAATGGAGCAGCAGGCAACTCAATGCGAATAGCGCCCTCCGAGCTACCGAATGAGATATCAGCCCCCTACGAAGTCCCTCAGTTTCCCATAGAGCAAATCGAGAAGAAGCTCCTCATCCAGCGTCAACTCACCGTAAAGTAATTATCACAATTATCACTCTTTAATTAAACCAAAAAATCCCATTTGTAAGCAAGAAATGTTCAATTATGTTTGACGCCCTCATTTGCATGCTTATTGCATACGTCGTTCTACCACTGGTGTGTTCGCACTTTTCAGTTTTTTTTTTCTCACCCTGCAGTGAACACTGTACGCAGTCCACTGACGATCAATAAGTTACCACGAACTCAACCCACGCCTGTAGCTTTATTTCGTTTCTTATCCCTGACACCTCGGGTCACTCTAATCTGATAAATTCGGGGTAATTTAATATTGGAGGCTGAGATTTCGGTCCGAAGAATTAATGGAACTTCGTGGAGTTTTATTTCGTTATTTTATTGGACTCTGGGCTGTTTAATTAATGAAGTTGTTCATTTTCGTTAGTTTTGGGAAGTTGAGGGAGGAAAACTAGTGACAAGTCTCTTGTCTCATGATTATGCTTTTAATTCATGATTTTATTGATGTGGAAATTCAACACGAGTTTAGTAATCATGAGGTATCATCTCGATTTATCGTAATTACTGCAATTGATGGATTTTTATGCATTTATCCTGCAAGAATGGAATTTTCAATTCTATCCGATGTGGGAGTTTTTTATCTCGATTTTATTTATTCGTTTTATCCGAGTCTGCGGGTCGTTTAATTAATGAACTTGTTAATTTTCATGAGATTCTCGGTCTCTAGAATTTATTGAAGAAAACTTGTGACAAAGTCTCTGTTGTCTCATGAATATAGTTTTAATTAGAGACTTTATTAAGGATATCCAAGTATCTTTTTCGATTTGATACAGACCACACCATAGATTCAACCACTTTCAATCATCAAATTTGTCAGTTAAATTGCGGGAGAAAATTTATATCAGATGATCAGGTACCTCATGAACATTTTATTTACCCCTCCGCCCCTCGTAATTTCATTAACATGAGGTGCACATGTCCATTGCATGCGCATGTAGCCTCCTGTGGCAGGAGCTAGCGCAATAGGGAGGGGATGGCAACCGGTGGGTGATACTCAGTATTTCGTCGACTGTTGGAGGAGCGCCTCCGTCCACCTCCGTCGGCTGAATCATTCAATTTTTTTCACGCGAGAAAACGAAAAAAAAAAACGATGCATCGAAATTCCGTACATTTTTTAACGATTCAATAATCAGTTTCCAGTTGAAATAAAACAATTGTCTACATTAAATTGTTTGGAATGTAGTCGCCCAACGAGAAGTTGAATATTTGATAGTTCAATCAATTTGTTTTATTCTTTATTTGTTCAGTCGTGAGGATTTCGGTCATTTTTTTTTATTGCAGTGGAAGGAATAAATATGTTCGCGTATGCTATTGATTCGAAACGTTGGCAGCGAGATAATACACTCTTAGTAAAGTAAATAGTCAAGATGAATTCAATATTTCATATCCTCTGTTCCTCTTCATTTCATTCATTCTATTTTTCTATTCATGTCTCTGAACTTTGCCCAGTGAATTTTAAATACGAACAGCACTCCCAAATTGCGTAATGTCTCCCAGAATTTTAATGAATAGGATTTTTCCCTTTCATTTTCCAATGAATCACTGCTATATGCATCGAAATTCCCTAAACTTTCTAACGATTCAATAATCAATTTCCGGTTGAAATAGAGCAATTGTCTATATTAAATTATCTGAAATGTAATCGCCCAACGAGAAGTTGAATATTCAATAGTTCAATCCGTTTGTTTTATTCTTTATTTATTCAGTCGTGAGGATTTCGGTAATTTTTTTTTTTATTGCAGTGGAAGGAATAAAAATGTTCGCGTATGCTATTGATTCGAAACGCTGGCTGCGAGATAATACACTCTTAGTAAAGTAAATAGTCAAGATGAATTCAATATTTCATATCCTCTGTTCCTCTTCATTTCATTCATTCTATTTTTCTATTCATGTCTCTGAACTTTGCCCAGTGAATTTTAAATACGAACAGCACTCCCAAATTGCGTAATGTCTCCCAGAATTTTAATGAATAGGATTTTTCCCTTTCATTTTCCAATGAATCACTGCTATATGCATCGAAATTCCCTAAACTTTCTAACGATTCAATAATCAATTTCCGGTTGAAATAGAGCAATTGTCTATATTAAATTATCTGAAATGTAATCGCCCAACGAGAAGTTGAATATTCAATAGTTCAATCCGTTTGTTTTATTCTTTATTTATTCAGTCGTGAGGATTTCGGTAATTTTTTTTTTTATTGCAGTGGAAGGAATAAATATGTTCGCGTATGCTATTGATTCGAAACGCTGGCTGCGAGATAATACACTCTTAGTAAAGTAAATAGTCAAGATGAATTCAATATTTCATATCCTCTGTTCCTCTTCATTTCATTCATTCTATTTTTCTATTCATGTCTCTGAATTTTGTCCAGTGAATTTTAAATACGAGAAACCCTCCCAGAATTTTAATCAGAATCTGAATTTGTATCGTCATTTCATATCTCTTGATATTTTTCTTAACATTCACAGACGGTGAGAAAATGCTGCAGAAATAACACGAGGAACGTGGAGTGTTTTTCCAGATGTTGGGGGCTGTTTATTAATTTATCTCTGTTTATTTCAGAGCTGCAAAAGATCTTGAAGAACGTAGGAGTCATTATGAGCCATCAATCGGTCCAGATGAGATAGAGCATCCCTTTAATCTGGAGGAGAGTGACTTTGTGCCGCATTTCCAGAGGGTTTCAATATCGGGGGAGGACACGTCAGGGGTAAATATCCTCAGGGAGTTGTTAGGGGGGGGGGAGTGGAACAAGAAGAATCACGAGAAATAGCGAATATTTAGGACGACTCAGGAGACTATTTTTTGTTTTTGGTTCAAGGTTGAACGGTTTCGTGGGTCAAATGACCCTTTAGAACGTTTCGAGGGGTCAAATGATCGTAAGGGTCAAAGAACCCTCAATGACCTTCAGGGCTGAGGGTCAAATTGTCGTAAGGGTCAAACGAACGGCGAAGGCGCGTCGGGTTAAGGGTCAAATGACCCTTTCTGATCATTTTGCTCGAATCAGTTTGACCCTTACGACCATTTGAACCTTAACCTTGTACGTTCTTATAAGGTATTTGACCCTCAACCTTGAATGTTCTTCAGGGTTCTCAATTTCAAACGGTCTTAAGGGTTGTTAAACTCTCAAAATCTTTTGACCCTCAATTGCAAACGTTCTTACGGGTTGTTTGATCCTCAAGTTTAAATGTACTTAAGGGTCGTTTGACCCTCGAAATATTTTGACCTTCAACGATATGACTCTGAACTCAGCAAATGATAGTTTTAAGGGCTTTAAGGGTTAAACGACCCTTAAACATATATTTGTTTAAGATATTTACCCCTGACGTGTCGAGGGAGGACCCGTCAGGTGTGAATATAGTCAGGGAATTATTAAGGGGGACCGGGGCAAGAAGACTCACGGGAAAAAGTGAGACTATTGTTTTTGGTTGTGAAGGTAAAAAAACAATGACCTTCGAAATTGACGGTCAAATTGTCGTAAGGGTCAAACGAACGTTGATGACGCGTGGGGTTAAGGGGTAAATGACCCTTTCCGATCATTCTGCTCGAACCAGTTTGAACCTCAACCTTGAATGTTCTTAAGGGTTGTTTGACTCTCACAACCATCGTCTGTTGACCCTTAAGGGCACAGAAAAAATTCGTTTCACCTCTCACAACCTCACATTTTTATCCTCTTTATTTTCAACAAAAGAGAAGCACTTCTCTACAGATATTTCTCTCCCGAAGAATTGGCGAAAGTGTCTTTACCTATAAGGAAATAAAATTTTATTCAATCATTGTTCGTCACGCCATTAAGATTATTTATTTAGTGAGGAAATTCTCGTAGACACGAGGTAGAATTATATATGCTTTTTTTCCTCGCTGAGAATATCTTAAAATCCGATTTCCGTTGTCGAGTGCTGAGAGAAGCCACACCAGTGCGGTTTTACGTAGAAAATACAACTCCCTTGTAGACCGTACGTCATCATTTTGAACGCGCCCTCGATGTGCAACCCAACGACTTGCGCAACACCGAAAAATAAATTCGATAATTTTGTACTGGGAATTGATGAATAACTTGCCTCTCCTTCTCTCTATCCCTCACTCTCTTCCTCAAGCTATTGTTCGTAAATCTCCTATTCGGTGGATGAATATCGAGTGCATTCGGGATTCAATGAAATCGATGCATCTCTCGAAACATGGAGTCCAGTTTATTTATTCTGTTTTTTGTGGAATCACTTTAAATACCAGGGATTCCAGAGGAACATAAAAATATTAATCAATTTTTTTCATAAAACTCTTTATCACTGAGATAATTGGGTAAATAACAAGGTAAAATGGACTTGAGGGTCAAACGACCCTTGAAGATGTTTGGGATTGAAGGTCAGACAGTTGTGAAGGTCAAACAATTTTTGAAAACGTTCAGGTTTAAGGGTCGAAAGACCCTTGAGGATCTTTGTCATTGAAGGTCAAATGATATTGAGGGTCAAACGACCCTTGAGGATGTTTCGAATTGAAGGTCAAATGATGTTGAGGGTCAAACGATCCTTGCGGATGTTTGGATTGAAGGTCAAACAGGTTTGAGGATCAAACAAATTTGAAGAACGTTCAGGTTGAAGGGTTAAGAGACCCTTGAGGATGTTTCGAATTGAAAGTCAAACAATTTGAGGGTCAAACAATTCGTAAGGACGCGTGGAACTCAACTAAAACAAAAATCCCCTGACTGGTCGTTTTTTCTGGAATTTTTTCGTGCCCCGTCTCCCCTGAAGAAATGATAGCTAACCGGATGATCATTGGAATACCAATAAAACACTTATTCAATATCGTCTACAAGGAACATATCGATTCAAGATAACCTTGGCTGGGTCACTGTAGCGCCAAACTGGACGTGTCTCAGTTTATTGAGTCAGTGGGGTAATTCGCGTCTGTTAAAGAGGATAGCCTCATTTTTTAGGCTTCTTCGATTATTGACAGATAATTTTTAGACCATCTGCACTTGGGGATTGATGGAGCGTTGAGGAATAATTACAGAGCTAATTCCTAAAGTTGACTCTTCGATTATTTCGTTCGAGTTGACGAGGCGAAACCCACACGTGCTATTAAATTTTACAGACAAACTTAGCGGATTCGTTAGAAAATACTATCGAATTTCTATTGAATTTTCTATTAGTTTTTGAGAGATTCAATTGAAAAATAGATTTTTGAAATTACGAAATTCTATTTTTTAAATTGGAATCAAAACATTTTCCAATAGAAATGTTCAATGGGAAATATTCTATAGAAAAAAGCATTTAGAATTCGTGTTTTCTACACAACTTATTCCATTCAGATATTTTCGATAGAAATTTCTCGACTTCAATTAATAATTAATTACAAATAACTTCAATTAATAAGTCTTTTTGTTTATTTTTCATAACAAAGAGAAGGAAAATAAAGTGAGAAAAAAATTTAAGATCAAATTCTAGTGAATATTTCTATAGAATAATTTCTATCGAGCATTTTCTATTAAATTTTTCCATCAATAAAAAAAAAAAATTTTCCATGAAATTACCTCAGGGGTATTTTTTAATTACGTCTGCATTAATCATCTTTCTAATGAATAGGTCCCCTTGGAGGATCTGCAGAGAGCCTCGCAGATGCTCGTTCAAGCCCTGGACATTCGTGAACAGTACATGAACAATTCGAGACAAACTTTTCCATCAATAGCAGCAAGATTCCTGAGAAGTGTCGATAAACGTCCCATGAATATTGAAGACGAGGTGCAGCACGACGATCGCATGGCAATAGCAGGTCTGCTCATGATTACATCATCGTTTTGTTTTCATTATTGATTCTCCTGTTCATAACTCTCGTTAATTCGTAATCTCCAGAGAGTAAATGCGATAAGCTTCCCACGGCCAGTGAATTAGAGATCTTCGACACGAGGTCAGACGCTGACATCGATGCCTTGATAAGATTAATCGACTGCACAGGTTCCCCTCCCTCCCTTTATTCCTAAAAATCCTTAAATAATTTAATACCTTGTGGGGTGGGAGAAATGGGTCAAGAACGAGTTGTCGGATTATTTCGTCGTTATGGTAGGGTCGAGGGGGTTTTGAGGGTCACGTCAAAGATGTTCTTGTCGAGAATCTCAGGGAAACTTATGAGTTTCAGAGATGTTGATGGAATAGTTTGGAAGAAATTCTTTGACTTTTTGCTGTTTGACAAATAATTTTGTAGTTATTCAGCAAATATCTTAGAAACTATTCAGTTTATAAGGAAATGCCAGAAAACATTTTTTACAGAGAATTTCATGGACTGCAGAAAAATTTTTCTGACATTTTTAAATAAATTCATTAGTTTCGGAGATAATCACGAAATAGTCTAGAAAAATTTCTTTAATTTTTGCTGCGTTAAAATAGTCCACCACGAGTTTTTTGCAAATATTCGAGAAACTATTGACTTTAGAAAAAAATATCAAAAAATATTTTTTGCTGAAAATTTTATGAGCTATAAAAAAGTTCTTCTGACGTTTTTCGATAAATCCATTAGTTTTGGAGATATTCACGAAATATTCATGAATACATATTTCCATTTTTGTTATCTTCAAACAATTGTCCCTCCTACTCCCCCAGGTCTCTCAGGTCTCCAAAAAAAATCCATTAAAATTCTCGATTCCCTCCAAAATCACGTGAATAATCTCTCAACTTTGATTACTGAATAATTAATGCATTACAGATCACCCAGTGCATGCGCCAGCATCGAGAGACCCTTGGGCCTGTGAAATTCCCCCAGCCAAGAATTACAAAATAGCACCGGTTAATGGTGTATTCAACCTGTTTGCCACCGAGGAGGACTACCAGAATGGCAAACCCATGCCATATGCATACCCCGACCTTGCGACCTTCGTCAGAGACATGAATCTCCTTTGTTCTATGATAGCTGATGGTCCCCTCAAGTCCTTCTGCTACAGGCGATTGAGTTACCTGTCATCCAAGTTTCAACTACACGTGTTGTTGAATGAATTGAGGGAGCTCGCTAGTCAGAAAGCAGTGCCACACAGAGACTTCTATAATATCCGAAAGGTCTGTTTCAAACTCATTATCAAGAGAACATTTGTCCCACGAAACTTGAATTTCCGAAATATATCCAAGAGAATTGAACGAATTTTTTCGTTAACAAATTAATTAAATATTGAGGGAATAGTTTGGAAGAAATTCTTTGACTTTTTGCGGCTTGAAAAATAATCTTGTGGATTATTTAGCGAATATCGTAGAAACCACTGGGTTTACAGAAAAATATCAAAAAAGATTTTTTGTGTAGAATTTTATGGGTTACAAAAAAGCTTCTATGACGTTTTTGAATAAATCCATTAATTTTGGAGATATTCACGAAATAGTCGGGATATCTTGATGAGATTAATCGACTGCACATGTTTCCCTCCTTTTATTCCTAAAAATTCTGAAATAATTTAATACCTCGTGGGGTGGGAGAAATGGGTCAACGAGTTGTCGGATTATTTCGTCGTTATGTTAAGGTCGAGGGGATTTAGAAGGTCATGAAATAGTTTCGAAGAAATTCTTTCACTTTTGGCTTCTGTAGTAACTAAATTTCGCATGAAGTTTTGTACAGTTAATTTTCCGAATATCTTTGAAACCGCTAACGATAGAGGAAAACATCATAAAATCATTTCTGTAATCCTTGAAATTCTCCACAAAAAATGTCCTGTGATATTTTCTCCTAAACCTATTAATTCCCGAGAAACTTGCACGAGAACTAGAAACACTTCTCAAAACAAAATTTCCCCTAAAATATTTATTCGTGTCTTGTCTAATATTCACTCCACGGAATCAATCCGGAATAAATTATCTTCACTCACAGGTCGACACTCACATTCACGCAGCCTCTTGCATGAACCAAAAACACCTTCTGAGATTCATAAAGAAGACCCTGAAGAACCACGCTGATGAAGTGGTTACTTGCTCCAAGAGTGGAGAAATGATGACCCTCAGACAAGTGTTTCAGTCCATGAATCTTACTACTTACGACCTCAGTGTCGACATGCTCGACGTTCATGCAGTAAGTACCGTAATGAGTACCTCCTCATTATCACTTTCCAGTTTTTTATTTTAAAAAAACCTTCATCGAGGCTCGAAATTTATAGATTCATTAACAAAATGAGAAATCGTATAGGAAGATAATCTCGATATTATTTAGAATTTTTCCCACAAAAAGTCGAGTGATTATTCTTCATTTTTGATAATTTATAACATTTAATTTTTATATGTGTCATCACTAATAATTTTTTTAAGCTGGGAAATTTTTCAACAAAGATTTTTTTTCGACGTTTTCTCTTAAAATTTCCTATTATTAACACTATTTTACCATTAATCACTACGAAATTCTCGTGTCTGTGAATTTTTATTTGTTAATAATCGAAAATAAAAAATAATAATTATTAATAATCGTTATGAAGTTATTTTTTATACTTTGTTTAATTTTTATTCTAATGAAAATGATATTTCGCAATTTTTAAACATGAAATTCTCTAAATTTTTATGGGAAAACGTCTGGAAATATTTTGTTCTGCTCACAAAATTTTCTCCAAGAACCGTCGCCCCCAGAGGATGAATCAAAAACTGATAAATTTTTTTATTCCCCCAGGACAGAAATACGTTCCACAGATTCGACAAATTCAACGCTAAATACAACCCCATCGGCGAGTCTCGTCTCCGCGAGGTGTTCTTAAAAACCGACAACTACCTGGAGGGAAAGTACTTCGCCCGAATAATAAACGAGGTATCGTCGGACCTAGAGGAGTCCAAGTACCAGAACGCAGAGTTGCGTCTGTCGATCTACGGAAAGAGTGCAGACGAGTGGGACAAGCTGGCCCGTTGGGCAATAAACGGAAACGTCTACTCGGACAACGTCCGCTGGTTGATCCAGATCCCCCGTCTCTACGACATCTTCAAACTCAATAAACTGATGACGAATTTCCAGGTAAGCGTGCAGTGGAAAAAACGGACTGGTCAGGTTTTTTTTGTTTTATTTGAGGATCAAATGACCCTTGAGGACATTCGGGGCTGAGGGGCAAATGGTTTTGAGGGTCAAATGACCCTTAGGAACCTTTTGAATCCTTTTTCTGTTTTTAGTTGAGGACCGAATAATCTTGAGGGTCAAATGAACCTTGAAAATTTTTGAAGTTGAAGGCCAAATAGTTAGGATTATTTGACCCTCAACTTCAAATATCCTTAAGATTCATTTCCAAAACCATTGGATTTTCAACTCCAAACGACCTTAAAGGGCATTTTACCCTCCTGACCATTTGACCCTTAATTAAAAGCAAACAGAGGAATCAAGAGGTTCTTAAAGGTTGTTTGACCCTCAAGACCATTTAACTCTCAACTCCAAACGTTCTCAAGGGTCATTTGACCCTCAACACCATTTGATCCTCAACTAAAAAAGAGAAAAAAATGCTCAAGAGGTTCTGTGGGTTATGTGACCTTCAAGACCATTTGACCCTCAACTCCAAATGTCCTTAAGACTCATTTGATCCTCCAGATCATCAGACCCTCCGCTAGAAGCAAACAGAGGAATCAAGATGTTCTTAAGGGCCATTTGACCCTCAAGACCATTTGATCCTCAACTAAAAACAAGCAAAGGAATCACGAGCTTCGCAAGGGTTGTTTGACCCTCACCAAAAAAAGTTCCCCAAATTCTTCTAAATAGTCGTTCATCCCAATGTTCCTTTTTCCCCCGTTCATTTCCCTTTCTTACTTCCAGGAGATCATCAACAACATCTTCCTCCCCCTCTTCGAGGTGACGAACGATCCCACCACTCACCCAGAGCTCCACAAATTCCTCCCCTACGTCATCGGTTTCGATTCAGTGGACGACGAGAGCAAACCAGAGAACCCTCTCTTCGATAAGGACGTGGCACCCCCCCAGGACTGGAATGACGTGGAGAATCCACCCTACGGCTACTACCAGTACTACACATACGCCAATATGACGGTTTTGAACCACTTCAGGGCTGAACAGGGTCTCAATACGTTTGTTCTTCGCCCCCATTGTGGAGAGGCTGGGCCCATTCAGCATTTGGTCTGTGGGTTTATGATGGCTGAGAACATCTCTCACGGGCTTTTACTGAGGAAAGTCCCTGTACTTCAGTATCTCTATTATCTGGCGCAGATTGGAATTGCGATGTCACCGCTCAGCAACAACTCCCTGTTTCTTAATTATCATAGGAATCCTCTGCCTGAGTATCTGGCCAGGGGCCTCTGCATCAGCCTTTCTACTGATGATCCTCTGCAGTTTCATTTCACTAAGGTAGGCAGATGGGGTTGGAGAGCTATTCAGTTATCCAAAATGCTCAGTTCATTTTTTTTTTCGTTCAGAGAGAGTAGAGATGAATGACTGCATAATTTTGAGGATTTTTTAGGGATTAAGTTTGGGATTCAATTATAAATTAAGGCTTATTCTTGAAAAGATGGTATGAATGGCTTTTTTGTTTTCGAATGGAAGCTTTGTAGTCGGTAGATTTATCGATTCCTTAGGAGGAACAAATAAAACTAAGTTTTTTCATGTGAGAGGGGCGCTGTGAGGCTATAGCCCCTCTTACATAAAAAAATTAATTGTTTCATGTGTTTCTCCTATAGAATCGTTTGTTCGTCGTTTGCTCGCCCTGAAAACACTGTTATTTTCTTCAATAATTGCAATCTTTGACTATTTTCATTTAATTGATTATCAATCAGTTAAATGAAAATAAAATTTTTGCAATTATTCAAGATGATAGCAGTGTTTTTAGAACGAACGAACGAACGGCCAACTAACGATTCCTTAGGAGGATCCGGGGGAGGAACCAATGAAACAAATCCTCTTTTGATGTAAGAGGGGCCATATCTACAATGAGGGAGAGCGAAGACATAAAAAAATAATTGTAAATAATTGGGTCTGCCCCTAACAATTAAATTTTGACGGGCGACTAGCCACGGTGTATAAAATTCTGACCCTTGTCATTATTTTGTAAAAATCATTTCGCAAAAATGGATTTGTTTTTAACAACAAATGACAATAGGCGCTCCCTCTCCCCTCATGAACAAGAGAATCAAACGATCACGAGAAGTAGAAAAGTCACTGTTTTCAATTCAACGTAAAAATCAAGAGTAAAAAAAACAATTCATAAAATCATCTAGGGAGGTTTTCATCTGGGAAGACCTTCCTAGATGGTAAATTAATGAGAAAAATAATTTAAATCACTCACCGGCGTTGGATGAAAACAACAGCTCCGTTTTCACCTCTCCAACCAGCTACCTGCATCAGAATCCATGTGGCCCAATCCTCTCGAACCACTTGCACTCACAAAACAATTATTTTTACACTTCTGTCAGTACTTGCACCTTGGCGCCGAAAAAACAACACAAAAGCACTCGACACACCAATCGCCATCTTACGGATTAATCAATACGTCGGCAATTACTAAACTCCCGAATACACTCCCGCACTATTCACAACCTCAACTTCAGCGATAAAATCCTTTTATTCACTACTGGTTCTTTTCCCGCATTTTAATCAGTTTTTTAATTAGTTGAATTGTTTAATAACTCCGTGAAAGCGCATAAAACACTTGTTTCTTGTCCAGAATTATACACCAGGCGCCATCTTGTGACGTTGTTTTGTAGAGAAGACAGTTTTTTTACGGAAACGTACAGGAATTGACGTCAATTTCATATTATAATGGGTTGTCCATGGTTAATGACCAATTGTTTCTTTAATTGAGATTTATTCCATGATTTTTCCCTTCGTTTTCCTCGAAAATATCGGCAGCGAACAGCAGAACATTTATTTATTGTCAACCGCCAACTTGGATATGCGCGGAGACGTTGCGCAGGGAGTAGAAATATTTGTGGCGAAATTTTTTCATGTCCAACGCTTGTAATATACCACAGAATACTCGCCAATTTCATATAAAAATCATTGTTCTCCGTCATTATTAATCAATTATTATGTTATTGATAGTTAATTCGATGATTTTACCCTCATTTTCACCGGAAAAACACGCAGCGAACGCCAACATTTCGTTCACTGCCCGAGTCCCGCCGCCATGTTGGACATGCGCGGATGTGTTGCGCAGAATTATTTATTGGCAATCAACTTTTTTGCCTTCTAGCGCTTTTAAGACATTGAAATGCTCTCCATTTTCATAATGAAATTGCTCTTTACCATCATTATAAATCAATTATTACGTTATTGAGAATTAATTCGGTGATTTACCCTAATTTTCTCCGGAAAAACACGCAGCGAACGCCAACATCTCGTTCACTGCCCGACTCCCGCCGCCATCTTGACCATGCGCGGATGTGTTGCGCAGAATTATTTCCTGGCAAATTACTTTTTTGCCTTCTAGCGCCCAGAAAACATCAAATGCTCTCCATTCTCGTGATAAAATCGTTGTTTGCCATTGTTACAAATCAATTATTACGTTACTGACAATTAATTCCACGATTTACCCTCATTTTCTCCGAAAAAACACGCAGCGGACGCCAACATCTCGTTCACTGCCCGAGTCCCGCCGCCATCTTGACCATGCGCGGATGTGTTGCGCAGAATTATTTTCTGGCAAATTACTTTTTTGCCTTCTAGCGCCCAGAAAACATCAAATGCTCTCCATTCTCGTGATAAAATCGTTGTTTGCCATTGTTACAAATCAATTATTACGTTACTGACAATTAATTCCACGATTTACCCTCATTTTCTCCGAAAAAACACGCAGCGGACGCCAACATCTCGTTCACTGCCCGAGTCCCGCCGCCATCTTGACCATGCGCGGATGTGTTGCGCAGAATTATTTTCTGGCAAATTACTTTTTTGCCTTCTAGCGCCCAGAAAACATCAAATGCTCTCCATTCTCGTGATAAAATCGTTGTTTGCCATTGTTACAAATCAATTATTACGTTACTGACAATTAATTCCACGATTTACCCTCATTTTCTCCGAAAAAACACGCAGCGGACGCCAACATCTCGTTCACTGCCCGAGTCCCGCCGCCATCTTGACCATGCGCGGATGTGTTGCGCAGAATTATTTTCTGGCAAATTACTTTTTTGCCTTCTAGCGCCCAGAAAACATCAAATGCTCTCCATTCTCGTGATAAAATCGTTGTTTGCCATTGTTACAAATCAATTATTACGTTACTGACAATTAATTCCACGATTTACCCTCATTTTCTCCGAAAAAATTACGCAGCGAACGCCAACATCACGTTCACTATCAGACTCTGGTCGCCATCTTAGACATGCGCGAATAAGTTGCGCAGAATTCTTTTTTTGCTTTGAACGTATTTGAATTCTAGCGCTTGTAATACTTTGAAATGTTCTCCATTGTCGTGATAAAATTGTTGTTCCGCATGTTTATTAATTAATTATCATGATTTTGATAATTAATTCGATGCTTTTATCCTCATGTTCGCCCGAAAAACAGACATCTTGTCAACTTTTCATTCTTGAGATTAATTTGGGTGCACTATAGTTGAATTCTAATTATTCTCTTTTCTGTTAATTTTGTAATTATCTCAGAAATTAGTAGTTTTAGGAAAAAATGTTCAAGAAAATTTTTCTTTTGAGGATTCTCTGGGGGTTTTGAACAATTTTATTCACCTGAAATGTTCATTTTAGTGCTCAAAATGCTTATTTCATTTTTTTTCATTCAGGGAACGAAAAAATGAATAAATGCATGATTTTGAGGATTTTTTAGTTATGAAGTTTGGGATGACATTATAAATGAAGATTTATTCTTGAAAGCATGTTAAGAATTAATTCATATCTTCTTCTTCTATGTCTTCTACGGGTTTCTCTGGATGTGTGTGTGCGTGTGTGCGTTTTAAAATTCTTTTTAAAAAGTATGAATGATTTGAAATATTTCTCATTCACAAAGTTTAAGACGAGATTGAAAATTGAGGTTTATTGATGCCTTTTACGATTAAATTTTCAATTTTTGAGAGTAATGTGAGCTTCTCTGGGTGATAGGAACCTCTGATGGAGGAGTACAGCATCGCCGCGCAGGTGTGGAAGTTGAGCTCATGTGATATGTGCGAGTTGGCGAGGAACTCTGTCCTAATGAGTGGATTTCCCCACAAGGTATTATTTTTTTATTGGGGTATTAATTGAGAATAACAATAAAATAATTTTTTTTGGAGAGCATATTTATTTATTTCATATTTATTTATTTATTTAATTTATTTTATCTATTTATTGAAGATCTACTTTTGAATTTCTATAGTGAACCATTAGAAAACATTTTCAAATTATAAAAAAACGAAGAATTCTTTTTTTTTAATGGAAATGTCTCAAAATTATTCTAAAACTGTCATTTTTGGAGATTACGACCTGCTTTCATAAATAATTCATAAATAATTTCCTTTCTGAATCTCAATCGATAAATTTGATGATTTAAAGTCTCCAAAACTTAAAAGTTCCTAGAAATATTCAAGAAACCTATTTCCAATACAATTTTATAACTATTAGACATTATATTCAATTCATTTAAAATTAGGACTTATCTCATTTAATTAACTAGTCAATTATGTCGTCAATTAGCAGAAAAAAAATATCAAGACTTTAAAAAAAAAAAAAATCGTCAGTAACAAACGACTTAATTTCCCCTTGAGCTAATCAACTCCCCAATGAAATTTTTCCAGAGCAAGCAGTACTGGTTGGGCCCCAACTACACGAAAGAAGGAGTGGCAGGCAACGACATCACCCGAACAAATGTCCCCGACATTCGAGTGTCCTACCGCTACGAGACCCTCCTTGATGAGCTATCCAACATCTTCAAAGTCGTCGAGAAGCCAGAAATGTACACAAACAGTGCATAAAACATTTTTTACACCCCCCCAAATCCTCGCGAATTTTCCCTCATTTTTTAATTCGAGAAAACAACTTTTGAAACTTTATACTCAAGAACTCGGCAACAACAACGAAGAAAACACCCCTTGTTAACAAGTTTAATACTTGTTTGTCTGTTGGTAATTATAAAGAGCTTCTCGAACTCGATTTTCCATTCACCAATGGGGAAAGATGTTCTGATTTTCTCGTGAATTCAGAAATTAAATCTGCGAGTCTTGAATCATGTCCCTTGTACCATAGAACATTTTGTACATAAGTTTTGCTGGCAATTATTCAGCTGATTCTTTAGTTCTCCTCTCCTTCAGTGCCAGATTCAACTTTATCGTTATTGTTTTTTTATTATATTTTTGTATGTTTATACTGCGAGCTGAGTTTAACAATCGTGTGGAGTCTTGATTTGAATCTCGGATCATTTCGAGTTTATTTTTACAGATTTAATTTAGGTAATTGTTGCTTAAGGGGAGCTGATAAGCTCAATATTTCAGATTTAATGTAAAAAAATGAAGAAAATTTAGGTTTTTATTTTGTTTTATTTATGGAATTTTCAGGAGTGTCCTCATGATGCAATTCTCAATCATTAACTGAAATTTTGGTTTACACGACGGAATATTTGCATAAATATAATTAAATGAGGCTTTTTAAAAATCGTAATTTTTGAGGTTTTGTATTTTTTTTTCAATTGTTGCAAATTAAAAAAAAATCATTTTGTTGCGTGTATAGATATTATGTCCGTATGGAGTAAAATGTGAGTCAATTGGTTGAGAATTGCGGGCTGAGGATACTTTTGAAGATTTGATTCCTCTGGAAAAATAAAAACCTAATTTTTTTCTTATTTTTGTACATTAAAAGTGAATTATCATCATTCCCCTTGAAAAATGGACGGAAAATTGGCCTCAGCTGTCCAATTAAGTTGAAAAACAGAAGATCTTTAGTGCATCAACATTTTTTCTTCTGATCTTTCCGAGTAATAAAGAAACTCCTAAAGTTTTTCCTAAAAAACGAAACGTTGAATTCACAACGAAGAAATCTTTGTTTTTCATTAGATTCTACTATCGAATTTTTTAAATTGCTGACGTCAATTAGCTGTCATTTATGTAGATTATTATGTTTCAATGTCTGTCGATAATCATGTGATGGTGGAGTACATTTAAGGATTATTGAGACAATTATATCTCTGTTCATCCTGCCAGCAAATGCATCAACAATATTTAACGGCGATTTAATGGATTGGGGGCTGGAGATGTCTGATGACCCAATTTATTCCATTCTGTTGAGCATTTTATTGTCTCGGGAATGGGGAATTCCAGAGGGTCATGTTGGAGCACATTTTCTTCTAAGACTTGTTGGTGAAATAATTTCACGATTAACGAAGATGTTTGACTTATGGAATGAGTTTTTTTTATTGTTTTCTTAATTGTTATAATTATCTTGAGAATGATTAGGTTGAAGAGAAAGTGCCACGTTTTTTGTGAATTTTGTCATTTTTCAAGTTGATTTCTCTCATTTTTTTAATTTTTACATTTACGTACATTTTGTTAATTCTTTAATTATCTCTAGATAGAGTCACTTTAGAAGAAAATGTGAAAAAAAATGTTTTGTAGAGAATATTCTCAGCCACAAAAAATTCCATTGACATTTTTCTCTACAATCAGTCATTCCCGAGATAATTACGAAATTACCAGGTGCCTCATTTGACTCATTGAATAAGTGGAATCTTCAATTTGTTTTATCATGTATTTATCTTTGGAATGAGTAAAAAAAATTATCTCTTGATTTTTTATAAAACCACTAATTACCGAGATAATTTCACAATTAACGAAGATGTCTTATCTACGGAATGTATATTTTTATCATTCTGATATTTTTCTAATTACCTTGAAAATGATTAGGTTTAGTAGAAAGTGTCACGTTTTTGTGGAGAATTTTCTCAGCTACAAACAATGTATTCCGTCATTTTTCCAGTCAATTTCTCTCATTTTTTTCATTTTTACATTTACGTATATTTTGTTAATTCTTTAATTATCTCTAGAATGAGTCAATTTAGGAGAAAATGTCAGAAAACATTTTTTGTTCCTGAGAAAATTCCCTACAAAAAATGTCTTCTACAACCAGTCATTACCGAGATAATTACGAAATTAACAGGTGTTAAACCCAACTAATTGAATAAGTGTAATTTTCATTTCTTTTATCACGTAATTATCTCAGGAGCGACTAATTTTAGAAGAAAATGTGCTTAACATTTTGGGATGAACCCCATCCCCAAGATAATTACAAAATCCTAAAAAATGTAAAATGGACTCATTCAACAAATGAATTCCCAAATCAACGAATAAATCCTTACCCAAAAAATGTGATTTTTCCATTGAAATTAATATAGAAATTAACAGCAGAAACAGTTAGACAAAGGAAATGTATTTATTGTATAAACTATATTCTAGCAAGAACCAAGTACTCCAGTTATTTGAACATTCCTGTACAATTAATCCCCCTTCTATACATAATGAAGAACGAGTGTTGCAGTGGAGACGAGTCCCAGCACCAATTTGATCATTTTATTTCTGCATGCAGAAGAATTCGCCACATATTCACCTGCATTATTCATTGACCTTGGGGCTTGAGTTGTCGACGTTTGTACTCTCTCGGGTGTATAATGGATGGGCTTCGAGTTTGTCCTCGGTTTCGTCTGAATCTCTTCGAAATTATTGAAGACGAGTGAAGTTTCGTCTATTCCTGGGTGAACATTATCAGTTGGTGATTTGTCAGTCATCTCTCCCCCACTGAAATCCGCAGATTCTTCGCTGAGTTCATGCATCAAATTGTTCCTGTTGTGTTTGTCATCTGAATGCACTATTTAGAGCAAAAGAAAAAAAGAAATTATTTAAATTATTGATATTATATCAATATAATCATAAAGAATTAATTCTAATAATATAATATATATTTATATTATATTAATTATGTTAATATAATATAAATATATATTATATTAGTTGAATTAATACTCTATGACGTGCAGAAAAAAAAATTCATAGAAAACCCGAGCGATTTTGTTAGAAAATTCTATTAGATTTTGATATTGGACATTTTCCATTCCTAGATAATTCTTTCTAGATAATTTTGTCATGTTTTTATCCCATTTTTTTCCTCTAATTGAAAAATCGAACGAAAAGACAAGGAAAATTTAGGATGAATTTATGTAGAAAATATATTAATATTGAATTCTAATGATTTTTTCTATTAAAAAAATCGCTAGATTTTTTTTATTTAGTTTTTCATTGAATTGTACTGTGGAATTATGGGGCAAATAAGGGTTTTAAGGGTCAGAATCTCATACATCCAGCATTTATAGAGCTCAGAGTTAGATAACTAATGATTTTTTGTGAGTAATTATAGAAGAGACTCACTAGTTTTATTAACAGGAGATTCCACGATAGTTTCTTCATCTTCGGGGTTTTTCAGGACCTTCGGAGCACGAGGTAAAGGCCTCATTCCAGCTCTGGGGGCTGCGGTTGTCTCGTTGATCATGTCTGATTCGACACTGGACTGCACTACTTGAAGGACAAGAAATTATTGTCAATGAATAGAACTAAAGAATTTTCTTCGATTTTTTAAAAATGGAGGAAAGAGAAGAATTGAGGGTTTTCAAGTGACAGGAGAAGAGAGTCCCCCAATTAAAAAGCGCTTTTTTTACACATAAAATGCAGCTATATTCTTTCTTTCTTTTTTTTTTTTTAATTAAATACTTTATTTTTTTTGAGCGCATATAATATTTATAATAATTAGAATATGCTACTGAATGGAGCAAAAGAACTGAAAAAATACGATAATGGAAACATAAAAAAAAATAATACAATGATTAAGCTCGAGAGTCCCTGAGTGACCAATGTTTATTATAATTAGACATATATTGAACGTTAATTTTTTTCATTACTTGTTTTTTTTATGTTAATTCACGTAAATATTTGCAAATATTTGTAAATATCTTAGTAAACTTGAATAACAACATGGTAAAAAAAAATAGTAGAAGAGACTCACTAGTTTTAGAAACAGGAGGCTCCACGATAGTTTCTTCATCTTCGGGGTTTTTCAGGACCTTCGGAGCACGTGGTAAAGGCCTCATTCCAGCTGTGGGGGCTGCGGTTGTCTCGTTGATCGTGTCTGATTCAACACTGGACTGCACTACTTGAAGGAAACAAAACGATTATCAATGAATAAAATTGCAGAAGAAGTTTTTGCGATTTTTTAAAGAAGAATTGGGGGTCTAAGAAGTAGTATTGAGGGCAGAATTGAGGATTTTCAATGATTATAGAAGACACTCACTAGTTTCTTCGATAGGAGACTCTCCGATAGTCTCATTATCTTCAGAAGTCTTCAAGACCATCGCTGCATCTGGGAGGAGCTTTATCCTATCCCCGGGGGTGGTCGACTTATTCGAAGAGTTTCCAGTTGAGAGGACGATGATCAAGTGCTCCTGGAGGTCGGGGTACACCGAGGAAATGTTAGCAGTTTCTCTTTCAGAGGCTGTGTTGATGAGAATTATGTAGGTCGGGTGTCCTTCTAATGATCTGGAACGAGAAGACATGATTGATGGAGAAAATTTAGGGGTAAAATGATGGCAAAGGGGATGTGGATCTGCGAGAAATTAATTTCTTCATGATTTCGCGGAAATATTTATTGAGAGAATAAATATTTATTGAGATGAATAAATATTTCGCGAAAATATTTATTCATTTATAGAGGTCAGAGTTAAATAACTCTCACAATTTTTTTGTGAGTAATTACAGAGGAGAAACACTAGTTTCATCAACAGGAGGATAGTTGACAATATTTTTTATATGAAAATTAAATTTTGACTAATAAATGAAAATGCTGTAAAATAAAATTAAATAAATAAAAACAAAATAAAAAAGTCATGCTTGAATTGTGAAATGACTCTAATCATTTTACTCAATTGATTATGCAATTATTTTCTTCTAGTCTCTGAAAAAAAATTTTTTCAACATTTTATTTTTCGTTAAATCTAGCATGAAATACCTTTTAAGCACCAGGATTTTATCGTCATTCAGTGTATTGATCTCCCAATCACCATCTCGAAAGACGGGATCTTTTCTGAGCCTCGCAAGGCTCTTGTACGTGTTGAGAGTGCTCTCAGGCTTTTCAAACTGTCTCTCAACGTTCTGGTAATCGTAATTATCATTCACAGGTAGGTAAGTGGTGTCATTGGTAGAGAAACCAGCGGAAGTGGTGGCATTCCACTGCATCGGAGTCCTTGGGGCGTTGCCGGAGTACTCGGCTAGGCTGTTTGGCGATAGTAGGGGTGAAATCGGGGGCTCGGTGTCGTTCCAGGCCGCCTTTGAGTCTGTCATTCCTATCTCGTCCCCGTAGTACGTGTAGGCTTGGCCTGGCAGGAGCATTGAGAGAGTCAGGTATCCTGGGAGCTTGCTGTCACCTACTCGGCTTGTTATGCGGGGGTGTTTGTCTGTTGACAGCTAAAGGAAATTACATTTTTCATTTTTTTTCTTTATTTCATTTCCGGAAAGAAATATTATTAAGAATACGAAAAATGGCAAAATGGTGGTTTGTAGTTATTTTTTTATCAAATATTATGATAATTTATTATTTTTTAATTTATTATTTTGGTTCTTTAGTAAAATAAATCAGAAAAATACTTTAAAAAAATTAGAAATCATCGTAAAGACGTTGTTTTTTTAAATTTTAGTTTTTCAATAGATTGTTTCATTCCTTTAGTACAAAAATTTTTAAAGTACAATTTTTTTCCTTCTTTTTTGATAATTTTTTAAATTTTAATTAATAATTTAAAATTAATTAATGGATTTAATATTATAATACTGAATTGATTAAATGAATTCAAATGTATTTTAATTTCAATTAAACTTAATTTTTTAGTTAAAAAAATGATTTTTCATTTCCATTTTTTAGAAAAGAATTGAAATTTCATGGAAAATCCAGTAGTAATGTTCAGGCGAGAAAGATTAAGTTAATTAAGGGAAAAAATAATGAAATTTGATATTTCATTGAGGGTTCAAGGGAATTGCAAATTTTGGAGCAGCAGGACGAAAATTTCTCAATTTGCTTAAAATTTCATTGAATTTTGGTATTTTAAGAACATATTTAGCAGAATTTTTCTGATGTCTATCCATTTTCCTGAAATAATTACACTAAAATTTACAGTTTTCACTGATTATTTCATCAAATGATGAATTTTCAATTGTAAAATTCCAATTCAATGAAAAAACGCGCAGTAAAGCTAATAGAAATTTTAATAGAGAAAAAATTCAGTAGCGATTTTGACTATTGGCCAGTTTTCAATAAATATCTCGGAATCTAAGGGAAATAGCGAAATTGTTGTAATTTCCTTTTTTGTAGCTCTCAATTTTCTCTACAATAAAGGTTCTAACAAAAATTTTGCTACTTCCCTTAGATTTTGAGAATTTCATTGAAAACTGGGCAATAGCCAAAATCAACTTATACCGGTTTACCACTTCACTACTGAATTATGAAATTTCTAATAGAAATCCAATAGAAATTCCTATCGATTTCGCTAGGTTTTTCTATGAATTTCTTTAGGGAGTGCGATGATGGAACACCTGACATTAATGCAAGTGAAAAAATCCATTTTTACCGCCCAATTAGTGGTCCAATTATCCGGCAACTTTTTCAACCATCCCTCGAGAAGTAACTTGATGTCACCAGCAGTGACGCCCTCCTTGACGCCAGCGATTAACCGGAAATTCAGCGGAACGACTCCAGGCCTTTCCTCACTACCATAATACGATATTAGGTTCTCATCTGAATCCCAGGCCTCGGCCATCACCAACTTGCCCGTTGAATTATTCACATCGGTCCAGTTGTTCGTGTACTCTCGTATCTGATACAGTAAGTTTGATGTTTCCGGGGATTCAAATGAGCCTGTCGGTGATGCTGACAGGCTCTCGTTCGTGGGAACGGGATCTTCGAAGAGGTAGGGCACGTCGGAGATGAGGAAACCGTCGACACCACGTTCCAGCCAGAAATTTATGATATTCTAGGGAAATTGCAGGCGAAATCAAATATTTTTGGATTGGAAAGTTATTTGGACTATTTTGCAAACTTGAGGAAATTTATTGTTTCTTGTCACGCACGAAAAATTTAATAGATAATTCTAACGAATTCGCTAGGCAATTCTATTGAAAGGTTCAATGGAAAATATTTTACAGAAAAAGTCGATAGAATTCGATTTTTCTATTCAACTTATTCTATTGAGATATTTTCTGTTGAACATTTCAAATGGTCTCGATGGTCAAACAATCCTTAAGACCGTTTAAGGTAAAGCGTGAAATACTTTTAAGGGCTAAAGTTTTGTGTTCAGTTGAGGGTTCAATGATTTTGAGGGTCAAAAGGCCCTTAAGGATGTTTAGAGTTGGAGGTCAAATGGTCTTGAGGGTGAAACAACCCTTGAAATTGAGGATGAAATGGTGCTAATGGTCAAACAACCTTTTATAACATTCAAGATAAAGGGTCAATCAACTTTAAGGGCCAAAGTATTGTTTACAGTTCAGTATTATATCATTTTGAGGGTCAAACAACCCTTTGAGAATGTTCAAGATTAAGGGCCAAATAATTTTGTGAGCCGAAGGTTTGTTTCGAGTTAAGGGTCAAATGGTTTTGAGGGTCAAACGACCTTCAAAGGCGTTTGGAGTTGAAGGTTAAATGATCTTGTGGGTCAAACATCCCTTAAGAACGTTCAGAATTAAGGATTGAAGGGTCTAAAGGGCCAAAGCTTTGTTTTCAATTGAAGGTCAAATAGTCTTGAGGGTCAAACGTGTTGGATTAAGGGTCAAATGACTGACGATAATTTGACCCTCAATTCCAAACATCCATAAGGGCTCTTTGACCCTTACAATTCACCCTCAACCCCGAGCGTCATCAAGGGTCATTCAACCCTCAACTTAAAACAAAAAAAGTTTTCCAAATTGAATGATTCTTTTTCAATCATTACCAAAATCTCCTCCACAACATTGCCATTCCTCAGATTGAGATCCGGCTGTGACTCAAGGTACTTGTGGTAATACCACTGGCCCCGAACGTCATTCCACGTCCAGGCGGATCCATTCTCGTACCCCATAAAATTCACCCACTTATTCGGGGGATGTCTTGTGCCATTAGCATCCACTCTGCCATCTGCCCAGACGTAATAATCCGTGTATGGATCGATACGGTTAATAGACTCGTTAAACCAACTGTGCCTGTTACTCGAGTGATTCGGCACTACGTCCAGGATGACTTTCAGTCCTGTTTCATCAAGTCGAGGGAGAGATTAATATCCTAGTGATGGAAAAGTTGGGGGGGATCCAGTGAGTGGAGTGGGGTAAAAGTGACGGTGAACCACTTGAAACTTCCGGGAATGAAGACATTTTAATGGGACTTCATGAGTATTTAGTCAGAAGTACTTCATATTTATTTATTGATAATTAAGGGAGATCGATTCATTTTTTAAGAGAAACCCTAGAATTTCTGGAGTTGATGGGATACATTTTTTAATTGTCATTTCAAAATATTTTTTTTATTTACTCATTTCATTTTAATTTCCATCATGATTTCAGGGATATTTGCAAAATCATCTGCAAATTTGTTTAATTTTGTAAAAAAAATATAATTATATCCAGATTATTTTATAAATATCTCAACCTAATAAACAAATAAACATTAGTTTAATTTAGGCAAAAAATTATAATTTCGTCTAGATTATTTTGTAAATAACTCGAAAACTACCGGCTTTAGCGAAAAATATCACACAATACTTTTTGTAGCCTATAAAATTCTCTACAAAAAAGTTCATAAGATATTTTTCGATAAACTCACTTGTTCTCGAGATATTCGCAAAAAAGTGAGAATCGTCTCCCAGAACCGACTTATAATCCTCGGAATTCCAAAACCTTACCTCGCTGGTGGGCCTCCTCTACAAGTACATCGAAATCCCCCATGTCACCGAAAATGGGGTGGATGTCCGTGTAATTGGAAACGTCGTAGCCGCTGGCTATCATCGGTGAAGGATAAATTGGGTTCAGACAGATTGTTTCAACTCCCAGGTCCTGCAGATAGTCGAGTCTCTGAACAATGCCTTCACGGAGAGGAACAAGAGAATTAAATAAAGGAAAACAAGAAAGTACACATCTCTATTATCATTACAACTCAGTACTGAGTTGATGAAACCGACAGAAAACAGAATAGAAAAGAACAAATCGTTTTTTTCCGGCTTCACGCATGAAAAAATTTCATTTAAAAAAAAATCAGAATTTCATTTTTCTAATTTTTTTGTGCGTGTTCCCCACTAAATATCAAATGATCCCGTTAATGGGTGCCTATACGATAAAATCTCGTATGAACGTTTTAATTTAGAATTTAATTCTCTATAAAAAATATTTGTTCATATTTTGCTCTCAACCATCTCGTTGTCGAGATGCTTAAAAATTAAAAAAATAAATATTTGAATATTTATCGCATTCGAGTTTTTTTTGTCTTCATAAAGGATGTTCCCTCACTAAATACCAAATTATCTCGTTAATGAGTGCCTATACAATAAAATATCGCAAAAACTTTCAAATTCAGAATTTAATTCCCCATAAAAAATATTTTTTCATATTTTGCCCTCAACCGGCCCATTTTCCAGATAATTACATTTTTTAAAAAGCCGACATTTAAATATTTATCGAATTGCGTTCTTTTAGTCTTCATAGGGGTAGTAGGGGCAAAACCCTACGAAGGGCGAAGGGTCAAACGGGAAAGACGCGTCCTCAAAAGGGTCAAACAATCATAAGAATTAAAAGAGAGAGCAAGAGAGCCCCTCCATTTGCTCCTTTCCCATTACACCCCTCCCCTCGACGGTCCACTTTGCCCTTATCAACCCTACAAAAACGAACACAAAGTCCCACAGATGCGATGACTATCCCCTCCCCCTCATTCCCCCCAAACAAAACTTAAATTTTTGAATTATCACATTTTCCCGCGTCAACGATTTCTCGCTCTCAGTTCAGATTTTGATTTTGACCAATATCTCCGAATCTAAGGGAGATAGCAAATTTTTCGTAATAACCTTTTTTGTAGCCCTGAATTCGCTCTACAAAAAAGGTCATAACAAAAATTTTGCTATCTGCCTTAGATTCCGAGATATTCATCGGAAACCGATGTAGTCCGAATTCGCCGCTGAATTAATTAATTAATTACCTTTTAGATCGCCGTTGCCGTCTCCGTCGCTGTCCTGGAAGGCCCTGGGCCATATCTGGTAGATCAGTGTGTCCTCCCACCACTCGCCACCACCCCCAGCGGCACTTCCGGTCTCCACCAAAAAGAGCGCCAATACCGCCAGTCCCATTCCGGCCGTCGCCATGTTTGTTTTCTTTGTCAGTGAGGTGCGATCGTTCGGAGCACAATCCTCCGCTTTTTATAGATTTTGGCAGGTTCTTCTTCGGTTACTGCCTCTCGACAAGTGTCCACAGTGTTTTTTATTGACTTCTGAAGGATTATCGAGAGGTTGTTTATCGGTTCGCGGACAATGGCGTCGGATATCGGTGAAAACACGGGAACGCGGGTTGTGGTGTGTGCAGTGGGTGCAGTGTCGATCGTCAGTGAGTGAATTCGCGATTTTTTCAGAGTAATTTGGACTGAAATGAGGGGAAACTAAGTGAATGCACCCGGGGGGAGTGGAGATGAGTGCCAAGTGGCAGAGATGCACTCGGGGAGCTTGGGGTCCTGGCAGACTTCCTACCGGCGACTGTCGTCTCCTCTGCCAAGTCGGCTCGGGTGAGATTTCAACAATTGATTAATGTTCTTGGAGGGAATTAAAAGGCTGAGGGGACTAATTTAGCTGTTATTAACGGCGTTTTGAATTAAAATTAGTTCTTTTTGTGTTTTAACCTCAAAAATTGAGGGAGAAAAATGATGGAATTTATTTTGGAAATTCTTGGGAAACGAGTGAGTTTAGGAGGAAATGTTATAGAGGATTTTTTGGAGAATGTGAAATTCTCTACAAAAAAGGTCATATGGAGATTTTTCCTAGGATTGATTGTTATTGAGATAATTGGATAGTTCTGGAGGGCGAATGCTGACGTCTGCCATGTCGGCTCCGGCGGGATTTCAACAATTGATTAATGTTCTTGGAGGGAATTAAAAGGCTGAGGGGACTAATTTAGCTGTTATTAACGGCGTTTTGAATTAAAATTAGTTCTTTTTGTGTTTTAACCTCAAAAATTGAGGGAGAAAAATGATGGAATTTATTTTGGAAATTCTTGGGAAACGAGTGAGTTTAGGAGGAAATGTTACAGAGGATTTTTTGGAGAATGTGAAATTCTCTACAAAAAAGGTCCTATGGAGATTTTTCCTAGGATTGATTGTTATTGAGATAATTGGATAGTTCTGGAGGGCGAATGCTGACGTCTGTCATGTCGGCTCCGGCGGGATTTCAACAATTGATTAATGTTCTTGGAGGGAATTAAAAGGCTGAGGGGACTAATTTAGCTGTTATTAACGGCGTTTTGAATTAAAATTAGTTCTTTTTGTGTTTTAACCTCAAAAATTGAGGGAGAAAAATGATGGAATTTATTTTGGAAATTCTTGGGAAACGAGTGAGTTTAGGAGGAAATGTTACAGAGGATTTTTTGGAGAATGTGAAATTCTCTACAAAAAAGGTCATATGGAGATTTTTCCTAGGGTTGATTGTTATCGAGATAATTGGATAGTTCTGGAGGGGAAGGATGAGTCCAACAAATGTTGTCGTCTGTTGAGTCGACTGGGGTGAGATTCTAACAATTGATTAATGTTTTGGGAGGGGAATAAAACTCTTTAGGAGACTAATGTAGTTCTGATGAGAGGGCTTTAATAAAATTAGTGATTTTTGTGTTTTTAACCTCAAAAATTGGAGATTAGGAATGATGGAGTTTATTTTGGGAATTTTTGGGAAATGTGTGAGTTTAGGGGAAAATGTCATATGAAATGATTTGTAGAACATGGAATTCTCCGAAAAAAAGGTATTATGGGGATTTTTCCTAGGATTGATTATTATTGAAATAATTGTGTATTTCTGGAGGAAGAATGTGTCCAACGAATGTTGACGTCTGCCAATTCGGCTGGGGTGAGCTTTCAATAATTGATTAATGTTCTGGGAGGGGAATTGAAGTGTTCTGGAGACCAATTACATTTTGATTAGAGGTGTATTGATTTATAATTCATGGCTTTTGTGTTTTCAACCTCAAAGTATGGAGGAGAAAAATGATGGAGTTTGTTTGGGGAATTCTTGCCAAACGAGTCAGTTTAGGGGGAAAATTCATAAAAGATTTTTTGTAGAACATAGAATTCTCCGAAAAAAAGGTATTATGGAGATTTATCCTAGGATTGATTGTTATTGAGATAATTGCGAAGTTATAGAAGTAGTAAAAATGCAAAAAAAAAACTTCAGCACATGTCCAACAAGTTTTGCCGTCTGTCAAGGCGGCTAGCGTGAGATTTTATCAATTGACTAATGTCCTGGGAGGGGAATTAAAATGTTTGGGTACTAATTTAGTCGCGATGAGAGGGATTCAACAGAAATCGTGATTTTGGCGTTTTTAACCTCATAAATTGGAGTGGAGAAACGATGCAGTTTGTTTTTTAAATTCTTCTGAAAAGAGCGAGTTTAGGGGAAAATATCATAAGATATTTTTGGTAGAACATTGCATTTTCTACAAAAAATATAATGTGGAAATTTTTCCTAGAATTAATTGCTATTGAGATAATCGAAATATTCTACACAAAATGATCGAAACAGAAAATTCACTGACGTCACCGAAACCATTTTAATATTATCATTATACTTATTATTACGTTAACATTGTGTTAAAAACTGAGTTCTGATGAACAGATAATTTTTACAATTTATAGTCTGGACACAATTAATAATAATTTTAAAAGACTTTCAAAAAGTAAAGAAAATTGATGGATCGGTCGTCGGTTTGGGAGCGAATGCCGAGAGATTTTTCGTAGCTAGTAAAATCCGCGGGGAACATGAGGCAAAATGGACACTTGTTAGTTTTCAATGTTCATAACTCGGGAATAAATTCATCTATTGTTCTCAGTCTAGACTCATCATAGGGAAAACTTAATTCTCATTTAATTTCATTTAATCAACAGTTCAATACGTCATCCACATTTCGAAAACAGTTGATGCTGTCCATTTTGCCCCATTCTTTCCTGTGCAAGGAAGGATCTCCGACATTTTCCCCAATCCCTTCCGTTCAAAAATATTCTCAAAATAACGATGAAAAATTCCTTTCATTAATTTCCCACGTCCGCTGCAGTCTTCACTGAACCACCAAAAAATACAATAATTACCTGACACAGACTGAACGAACACTCGGTGTTGCCAAAAGACGTTTCGAAGTCCAACTGAAATACAGTAGTACCCCCGATCAAGCGCTCGATTGTTGCCTTATTCATGCCGTGAAATTTCAAAAACAACAAATATCACTCGAAATTGATTATAAATTGACCTCAAAGTCACGTAAAAATTGCATGATTGCACGAGACATGTTCAATCGCCACTCGAATAAATAATAAACGTGTCTGCTGTTGTCGTACGTGTGCGATAGTGGAATAATTCATCCATAATCGATGCATATCCAGCAAAACACTGGACCGTAAGGACAGGGTTTTATAAAAATTCTTTATTTACGATTGTTTTTGAAATGTGACAGTAGATTTGTTATCCAAGATTGTGAGGACGTGGAGAGGGGGAGGGCGGGGGGGCAACCTTACACATGTTATACCGGGAATAATATTAAAATGCTTTTTTTCTGCAGAAAATTCAATTGCCTAGAGAAAAAATTCTGCGAAATTTTCCTTTAAAATCACTTGTTACTGGAATAAGTCAACAGTTCGGTGTAGAATGTTTAAAACAAGTGGACAATGGAATTAGCAAATTAGCAATTTGCTTCCGAATGGGTTTTCTTTTTTGAAATTCTTGTTTCACTATTCTCTTTTCCTATTTTTTCATGTTAAAGTGCTATTATCAATTGATGTGTCGTCAAAATTTTACGTATTATTTCGTTCTGTCAAATAATTCTATATTCAGAGCCTCTCTAGACTCGAATTCGTTTTCAGTCCGGGTTTAATCAAGGTTCAATGAAGGCTTAATCAGTGTATAGCCGGGATTTAATCAGGGTTTATTCAGGATTTAGCCAGAGTTTAACCCAGGTTCTGTCAGAAGTTATTCGGGACCATGAATCAATATGAATAAGTATTCAACATAATAGACTAGTACCTGAGGTTAATAGAGATAGAGATTTTTATATAAAAAGCTCATGACGGTATTGTGTAACTTGATAAGCAATGACGCTGTTCTCACCATTTTTCAACTTGATTAAGAAGGCATTGAAATATACTTTTCAAGCCCTGATTTAATTGCTATTACTGATGATTTTTTCAGTAATCATGAAAAAACGGATTTTCTCTTTCAAATCGCATAAACAATGTGCTGTAACCCAACAACGAATCGTGCGACCTCCATCATATTCTGATCGAATCAAGAGGGTATTGTTATCAATTTTTTAAGCCATGACTAATTCCATTTTGATGACAATTTTTTGAGCGCTCGTTGAAAGTCGATTTTTGGAAAAATATCAATTTTTTCGAATCTGTATGAAAAAAAAAATTTAATCGGTGTTAATAAATAGAGCTTATTAAAGTCCACCGTAAAGTATGCATCAGGGTTAACAATAATTGAAAAACCTCATGTAAACAACATTTAATTCATGTATTTCCTCAGTTTCTTTTGCACTTTCGATTCAATTACAATAAATTGATTCTTACTCGATATAATCGTTTCCCCTCATTGGATATCCTGATGCACAGCGGTCACAGTATCTCAGTGACAATTTAATTTCAGGAATCATTAATTTATTTGCATTTTAGCTTGACCATTTTTTCAATAACATTGAAAATGCAATCAGGCCGAGTGCCCAAGCGCCAATGAAGCGAGTAAACTTCCAAAATTCAGGGGTCAAACCCGGAGTTGGACCTGAACTCCGTCCGCCAGTGGTACCCAGCTATTTTTTTTATTCACATCAACAATGAACACCATTTTTAATTTCTCTATAATTCCCTTGCTCTCATTTTTTTTTGTTGAACACTGGCGTTACACAATTATTTATGTCCAATATAATTCCGTTTAACGTGTAAATAGCGCGCAGTACAGGGAATTCCAATAATATTAAAGATAGGCGCAAAAAAATTCAACCATTTTTCGTTTATTCTTTCAATTTTCCGTAACCGATGATAATCTCAATCTTTTTCATCATTTATTGATTTATTTTGGACACTCTATCAATGACAGTACCGTTCTTCCGCATTTTCCTCCATCTCCGAAGTGATTTTTCGCTATTTATTATATTTTTCATTCATTTGAGACGCATTTACAAAAGAATTCATAACAAATTAATGAATTCCGGCTTGAAGTAGTAAACCAGAAATTTCCTCCATTGATTTTTGAGGAATATCTCGGAATCTAATGGAAATAGCGAAATTCTTCAAGATACCTTTTTTGTGAGAAATTTAATTTCCTGAAAAAAAGTTTATGACAAAAAATTCGCTATCCCCCTTGGATTCCGAGATATTCACCAAAAACTGTTGACCTCTCCCGTTTCACCACTTCACTCCTGAATTTTCGAGTTCGTTGTATGATTTTTTTCATAGACATGAGGGATTTATCTATCTTTACTTATAAAATTATACATGAATGGAATAGCAGCTCTACAGAAGCGCTTGCAGAGTGGAGATAACGAATTGAAATGAAAACCCACTCGAGCAAAACGAAAAAGTAATTCACAATAAACGAGATGAAAAAATAAAAATGACTGAATAAATAATGTGAATAGATGCGTCGATTGTTATTTCACGCAAAATCAAAAACCCATTGTGGATTTTTCCCTCGTTAATTGCATTATTTACAATCAAGAAATATATAATATACACAGCAACAATTTATGAACATCGAGGTTCATTAATATACGGGAAATGTTAATGATAAAGGAAGAAGGAACATCATGATTCTCATGTTACAATTAATTATTTTCATTACTTTTGCTTATGTTTCTCATCTGCGTACGTATATACTATGCAATAACACAACAATGTATATACACATATCTCTAATGGCAAACATTTTATGCGTCTCCACGCGGTACAAAATTTTTCCGATTAAAACCGCAAATTAACACATCATAGTTTATTTTTTTCTCAATTTTTGATTGATCGTTTTCTCTTAATCCATTCACAATCGACTTCTGTCTGTCGTTAATTACCATATCGAGACATTATTATATTATCTT